TGTTGTTTCAATAAAATTCTTGCCTTTTAAAGATTTTCTAGATATGTGGACCACTAATTTGTTTAAGTTTCTTTTTATTAATCTTTTACATGTTTAATTGTTTATTTAATGTTTTTAGCTAGTCTAAAGTGTTTATACACTTCATTATTAATCACTCTTTTATATATAAAAAAAAATCGGAAATATGGTAACCCCTTAATGACGAAAACGATACAAATATATATTTTAAATTATTAAGCCATAATTAAGGGATAGACAAATGTTGTAAAAATAAATATGGGCTTTATTGTTGAAGAAAATGTATGCCTTAATATTGGGGGAATGTTGGTGTGGTTTATGGGCAGTGGAAGTGGTGGCCACAGTGCTGCTTCCTCCCTACCAATATTATTCTATGGACACAAACTACTCACCCTTATCCTAAGAGTTGAAAACCTATTTATTACTCTAAACTTGTGATCATCGAATTGCTTCAATAAACCTTTGAACAACCCATATATCTATGGAAAAAGTTTATGTAGAGTCGAGGCTTTAAACAATCAAATTATGATCCCACATCAAAATTTTTACTAGAAGATGTTGTTTTGATGCTTAAATATTATTAAATTGATCATCTCGAATCAAGATGCATAGACATGAGAAAAAAAGTGATTTTAGTTTGAGAACAATCCGAACCGACTATAGGGTGGTGTATCCCCAGTTAAGTCGCCAGTTAGTCGGGGGTCTGGTTTTCTTGGTGAGAGAAAACCCTCTCTTAAACAATCGCGAAGGGTGCACACACGATACAAGTTTTAAGCATGCACATGTACTCTTCTTGATGCCTATAGGAACCAACAACGAGAGAGATTTTTCGACAATGGCACGTTTAGATGCTTACCTCATCGTTTGTAGGTTCAGAGATACACCCGAGCAGTCGCCTTCTTAGAACAGTTACGAAGCCCTCCGACTGTCTGCAAGCACAGTTTGGACACGAACTCTCCTCAAACTTTAACACTTCGTCTCGTTCTTTTGCTCCAAAACTTGCAATGTTAATTCGAAGGTACTCCTATGTAATGGTCTACTCAAGTAGGGATTGGTTGACAGAGAAAGGATGAAGGAGAAGTGACGACAGAGGTTCTTCTATCCGCACAAATACTACAAAATTTGACAATCAGAGCGACCAAAGAATCAAAACTCTCTCAACTACCAACTCAGGATGACTCCACCCAAGTGAATGAGGGTGAGAGCATGTATATCTCTCGCAACTCAACTCAAGTGTATGGAAAAGAAGTTAGAGTGGTGATTAGAGATTAAGACTCTTGAGACTACTCTGATAGGTATCAAGTTGAGCGTATGACGTATAGCGAGATACTATCAGTACAGAAGAAGGAATGAAGAAAAATGAAGGGAAGAAAGGGTTTACGAGAAGCTGAGGTTACGTGTGGTCACGGGTCCGTATGAAACAGTGAGTAGTATAGGAGAGAAGGCACGAGACTACAGATTTGTTGTGGTCATGCTCAAATTAAGGATGGGAAGAGGAACAAAGGAGAGAATGACAAGACCACGGATTTGTTGTGGTTTCGAGTTGCTATGGGGAAGAGAAGAATGCAACAAGAGATGGGGTCGTAGGTGCTGCGGCTCTGAGACTTGTCACGCGTCAAAGGGGAGAAGGGTGCAGAGAGAGAGACGGGGTCGCACATGCTGTGGCTCCGAGACTTATCATGTGGCAAAGGGGAGAAAGGCACTAAGGGAGAGACGGGGTTGCAGATACTGCGGCTCCGAGACTTGTCAAGCAACAAAGGAGAGAAAGGCGTAGAGAAAGACGATGTAGAGAGACGAAGAAAGAGGAAAGAAGAGAGGGAGAGAGACTAGATTTGAGATGTGACCTAGCCTGAACACGCAATCTTAGCCTCTTTGTTTGCAAACGAGAAAGAGAAAGGTTAGCCGTGAGTCAAGGTTGGTGCGCGTGAACTATGGGGTACGTTAGGGTGTATGGGCTAGAGGTAGTTTCTCTCTCTAAAAGTTCTCTCTCTCCTCACCACTAGATCCAAGAGTTAGAAGCAAAGCCAAGCAGGCATAAGCTAATGCCTTAATTTCATTAACGAATAATCCAGCCTTTTCGCAATTGACCTAAGCTTGTTTATTTAGAGCAACCCCCAAACATGGGTGGAACGCTCAAAACTAAGCTAAATTGCTAAAAATTACATATTAAGTGAATTAAAATAAATTTCCATTTTTGACATAATGACCAAAATACCTCTTAAATCTTTTGGGTTAAAGACAAAACCATCCCTCCTAGAGTGGCCTCTCATCATTGCTAGACTTTGGGAGCTTTTTCGGATTTTTGTGGCAGCAGTTCGGACGATGTTTGTCGTAGAATTGATGCTTGATCTGTTCTGAACATTTTGATGTCATTTGATCGTCTTAAAACATACTTTTCTCGAAGGGTAAAAATCCGGTCAAGTTCATAGCCTTTGATCGTCAATGTAATGCGATCCGTGATGTTTTGAATCCTCTTTTTTATTTTGATTTGAAGTGAGCATTGTCATGATCATTCTGCATTAAGTTTTGTCTGATTTTATCTCCATTTGAGCACATTCTAAATTTGGGAAGTCGCCAAAAAATGGGATTTCGGCTATCAAGAAACTCTTGTCATCTTCAACCTTGAAATTCGTACTATCCGACCTTCAGTTGAATGCAAACATTATACCAAATTATAACCCTTTGCGATGTGGTCGCAATGGACTCGTATTTGCATTTATCCGATACCCGGATCTTGAGTGAAGTACGATATGTCTTCTTTCAAAATTATGATTTTTATGCTTTTGGGCTCACTTTCTCTCCAGAAGTTCTCTCGTCTCGGGGCACGCCATGGCGTGTGTCATATGTCAAAATGATCGTATCATTGAGGTTCAGTTGGTGACCAAATTTGAGCTTGTTCTGATTCCAAACAAGCGAACTATGAGCACTTGAAAATCGTCCCAAGCGGTGAAAACACAATTTCTAGAAATGGCAATTGGTTCACTGAAGCCACACCGCAAAAGAATGAAACCAGCCCGTTTGTGGTAATTTAGACCCAGAATGGTCTTGGAATGTCCGATTGAGCCCAAATTTGGTCCTTGGGATTTTTTCAATGCTCCGGATCTGTTGCCCATGACCTGATATTGTTTTGAAGCCTTGAAAGTAGGGCTGTAGTTATAAAGTCTCTTTTCAGTATGATAGGAGATGGATTTAATAATTGAGTTTCATGCTGATCATGTCAAATCTCATCAAAATGTAACGAAACATTGCGACCGTCCTTGGGGCATCCCAAACTATCATTTTCATGCTTTTTGAAGCCATTCCAGTGCTCTTTTCAAGGTTGCCCACTTTTATGCTTATTTTGCAGCGTTCCCGTGGTCTGGCGGTGTCTTGGGTACCGATAGGACCAGGTTGTTACTGGTTCTCTCTTTATGCGACTCAGGAATACAAGTACATCAAAAATGATGTATAACATGGGTGGCAATATTAATTTCATTGACCAAGCTCAAAGTTCAAAAAAAAAATTTCGATATTTACGGCACACCCAAGTTGTCAGACATCAGATGGTTGTAAGTAATTGTGACCTCCCTCTACTAAAGGTAAATGATCGCATCCCTAACAAATTTTGTCTTAATTTATATAAATACAATAAAACTGCTCACTTTGTTGTCACGATATAAAACATATGGTAGATTCATTAGAAACATATATTGACACAATACTTAAGAACTACATTAGCAAATGACTAGAAAAAACATTAAAAAGACCCCAGTACACAATTGCAGTTGACTAAAAAACATACATACAAAAATGTAAAATAATGGTCCATCTAAAATGCTTGGTTATACATCAATGAAATAATACAAGCATTTGAAAAGGTAAAATTAATAAAATTTATGTATGTCGAAAGAAAGCAGCAAAATATTTAAGCAAATCTAAATATTAGAATCTCACCCTAAATTCCTAGTTGCGTAAATTTTTAGTTGCCACTAATTTCTCTAGCTCTTTATATCTATTATATATTAAGAGAGAGCAATACCCTCCTATTTTTAAGTCGTGTGTCCCACCATATTAATGTTTCTCTCTCCCCACATCTCTCTCATGTCATGTATGTCATCTCATGCCAATTCTCTCCCTTCTTTTAATCATCACTCTTTCTAAATAAATCCCACATTTTCCTCTCGTGCCGATGCATGTCATTTCATGTCCATCCTTCTTCTCTCTCATCCCATTCTCTCCCTTCCTTTAATTTTCTCTATTATCTCCCCTCACCCATATACTCTCATGTAACTTATCTCTCTCTCTCTCTTATAACTCATATTTTCTAATAAATCCTCAACCCCACATTTTTCTCTCTTCTTTCTCCTACTCCATACTCTCTCATGTAATTCCTTTCCTAATAAAGCTCTCTCTTCTCTCTCCTCCCCCATACTCTCACTTAATTCCCCTATCTCTCTCTCTTTCATCATTTCTATTAAGCATTTATAGTAAATATTTATTTATTCTCTCTCTCTCCTCATGTTCACCTTCTCATCTCTTCCTCTAATCCGTTTGTCTCTTCCTCTCCCTAAAATTACTTAGAGTAATGATCATATGAGACTCTCCCACACCCATGTGAATAGAACCCCAAATGATCACCATCAAATTAGGCATATATCTCTAGAAAAGTCAAGCCCCACACCCATGTGATAACTTTTCTAACGATGTGTGTTAAATTTAATAGTGATCCTTTGGAAGCCTACCATATAGGTGTGGGAGGGTCTCATAGTGTCATTTCTAAATTATTTATACAATTATTATAAGAAAAATGACCTTGTGCATCCCTCACGCACCTAAAGCTTTATAAGACCCCACTTACTTGTCGTCGGATATTGTGGTTCCTCAAGATATGTGCAGAGCAACCTGCTAAGCCAGTTACCTTTTATTTCCCAGTAAACTTTTCTCTCTCGCCAACGTGCTGCCCTTTTGAAATGGCCTTCTCAATCCCAACTTGCTCGCTCCTCCCTCTCCAATTCCAGTGCTTTAGCACTAAAATTGCCCCCCGATTTGGCACAGCAGGCTGCCAAGTTTGGCTGGGAGGGCATTCCTAGCTCTCGTCATTGATTTGTCTCTCGCTATTAAATAAATCTTGTGTCATCATCTTGTGGTTATGTTGGAGTAAAGTGTGTGAATGGGCTGAGGTATCTAGGATTTAAGATTTGGGTTTTAGGGGGTAGAGAGATGTAAGGGATGTGAGAGAAGAAAGTATTTTCCAATCAAGATTCACATAGAAAAAAGCATTTCCATTACAAAGAGGGAAGGAAATGAGGAAAAACAGTGAAAAACATACGCATTGCAAATCTTTGAATACAAACACCATTTATTTGAATCAATTTGTTATCTTTTTAAGCTTTTGATGAGCATCAATGGCATTTTCTTCTCATGTATTTGGTTTGTTTGTTTCTAAAGGTGGATAAAGTAATGGCTTGGCTTCAAGAGCTACAAGACAATGCACAGGAGTAACCAAGGCCATTTGAGGGCTAGTCTCAACCTTTGCAGCACCAGAGGCTACATAAGAACCAGCCTCAGATCCACTCCATCAGGTTTTAATAATACTCGCTTCCTCTCTCTCTCTCTCTCTCTCTCTCTCTACTACTACTACTACTACTACGTTACGTTACGTTACGTTAGTTACGTTAACTTACTTAACTTAACTAACGTAACTAACTAACTAACGTAACGTACGTACGTACGTACGTACGTACGTAC